AAATGATTAAAATAGTGATTATATATTTGCTTTATGAAATAATGAGCACATAAAAATGCTTTGATTAACTATGGCAGCATTTGAAATTCACATTCACACTTTACATGAAGAGTGATCATATGAACTGTTCATTTAACAGTTTTTGCTATGCATGGCATTATTGTTTTCACAGTGGTAAAGAAGTCCAAGTTATTGATTACTCAGCAGTACGTTTCTCCCAACGAAATGGCTGGCCAATCTGATAGTTGGAGAACCTGTCCTCTAAAAGAAGTTCCTAAAGAACTGTGTTTCAACATAGAAGAGCCAGATCCAAATTACGAAATCTTAAAGATAAAGATAAAAGTGGAAGGTGCCACTGGCGATGTTTTCTATCAGGAGATTTCAGACAAGAATAAAAAAGATCAGTTAAACGGCTCAGTGTTGCTGCTGCATGGAAAGAGATTTACATCACAGAACTGGTTTGATATTGGTACGCTTCAGCATATGATCAGATTTGGTTATAGAGCAGTGGCAGTTGATTTACCAGGTATATAAATACAGTGATATGTAGATCAAGGTTTGGTATGTCAATGAGAATACGTTATACTAGTATATTCTCCGTAGAAACCTGCCTCATTTAGTTTATTAGGTTAATAAATATATTCTCATGAAAGTATTGAGAAATTGCTATACAAGGTTACATGCAAAAATAGTTTCAAATCAAATTTTTAAGTTAAATATGTTATTTTACCCTGGTTATTTATTATGTGTAATTCTATGGAGAATATAACATAACTCATTTAATTAAAAAAAGACATAAAAAATGAAACAGTGTGTGTTTAAAAAAATCAACAAACTTGGGGGTCATCAAAAATTGCATTGATAATGTGCTAGATTCTTATAATATGAGGTTATTACGAGGATACCTCAAAGTATGCACGGATATACAGCAGGAGTATTGACCGACATGCAGCAGAGGTTGACGCAACAGTGTACTGTCTGAGTGCATACTTTCAGGTATCCTCGTAATAACCTTATTATTATACATCTTTTTCTTCCAAGGATACATCATTGGAATGCCGAAATCCAAAAAGTTTAGAACAGAATCAGCAAACTTTTTTGTGTGGAGTCCAGTCAAACCCTGGTGGCAGCCATGTTTGTTTTTATTATCAGAGGAAACTTGCGTGCGTAATCATTCCATATTGGAAAATTTGCATTTTCTTATATGGTAGGATAAAAATACCCCATAAAATACTGCAAAATTACGGCACGCTGTAACTTATGGTGTTACGGTGACAGATGTATAAAAAATATGAATGTAGATACATATTACATGAACACATAAGTTACTACCAGAGCTAATACAGTACTTACTGTATGTTATACCTTTATTGTGTATTTAAAACAGTATATAATCCTTGATTTTGAATTCCAATTACAAGGTTATGGTTTATCAAAAGATGTTGAACTGACAGTTGATAAAGGAGAATTCTTGCTGAATATTATCAAGGCTTTGAAGCTAGAGCATTCTGTGATTGTGTCGCCATCGATGAGTGGTACTTTTGCCTTGCCATTGCTGATGAAGCACCCAGAAGTATTCCGTGGATATGTACCAGTTGCTCCTGTTGAAACGGAGTTGTACAGTGCTGACCAATATGGCAAAATCCAGGTACATCAGAAGAATATTACAAGTGGACATAAAATCAATTTTTCTTCATGTTTTTTGTGACAATGTGTACCTTGGTTACAATAAGGACCTGCAACAAAAGTCTTGTAATGCAGTCTTGTAAGATGAAATGAAATAAATTCCTGTTCCTGTAACTCCACCTGTTTTTTAGGGAAAATTGAAATGTTTATTCATGAGCTAAAAATAAGCTATGTTCATTTATTCTGATAACCTAAACTTTTTCAGACAGTGAAAGTGTTTTTACATTATCTTTTCTTTGTACAGACCTTTATAATATCAATCATATTTTAGCCTATAACTTAATATTTTAGAAATATTTGTTCTGTATATATTATTGTATTCTCATTCTGATATGAATTATATAATATCATGTATTTTTTTTTTATTCTGTCATAGGTTCCAACCTTTATTGTTTATGGAGAGCATGACACAGATTTTGGTCAGAAATCTATGAACAACCTCAAGAATCTACCAAATAGTCGAATATATGTTATAGAGGGCGCTGGTCATCCTGCTTGGCTTGATCAGCCAATAACGTGGCATAATTTGATGTATAACTTCCTCGTGCACATTCCCAAATAAATGAAATATAATGATTTTTTTATCTCGTTTAATTTTCAGTAGAAACATTAGATTTTTTGTAAAATAAACTTTCCACTCAAAGCCAATCTGGTACATTATAAACTTTTGTTTTCTTATTTAAAAAAGTAATTGAGCAAGACATATAGCTTATGGGAAACTGATTTTTAGATAAACACATGGCAATTTATAAAATGTTGGACTATGGTGGTATTCAAGAAAAATATTAGATCAGGAAATAAAAGCCAAATATCCAAGTATCCAATCTGAGTTCTCAACCAGTGGTATATAGTGGATCATCATACCTGTTTGGTTCAGTATAGATTCTCAGACCAGTGATCTAATATGGGTCCCCAGACCAGTAATTCAGTATGGATCCTCAGACCAGTGATCCAGTATGAGCCCTCGGTCCAGTGATCCAATATGGGTACTCATACTAGTAATCCAGTATGGGTCCTCAGACCAGTGATCCAATATGGGGCCCCAGACCAGTAATTCAGTATGGATCCTCAGACCAGTGATCCAGTATGAGCCCTCGGTCCAGTGATCCAATATGGGTACTCATACTAGTAATCCAGTATGGGTCCTCAGACCAGTGAATCCAATATGGGTCCTCAGACCAGTGATCCAATATGGGGCCCCAGACCAGTGACCCAATATGGCCCTCAAACCAGTGACCCAGTATGGGCCCTCAGATCAGTGATTCAATATGGGGCCCAGACCAGTGATCCAATATGGTCCTCAGACCAGTGACCCAGTATGGGCCCTCAGACCAGTGATCCAATATGGGTCCTTGGACCAGTAA